AGCAGGGGTTAAAAAAGGCCCACGCCAAATTTTTGGGGGCCCTTGATGGGGGTTTTTGCTGGGGCAATGGGGAAAAGACCAAAATTGTAGGTTTTTTTTTGTTCCAAATCCAGGTTTTTTCCCCGTCACCCCTTCCTTGGAAATCACTGGGAACTGGGTTTGTGGGGGGGTAGGGTTTTTTTCGGATTTGGAAAAGGGGATCACAGTTACCGAAAGGGCGGCCCGGCCGGAAATTTCAACAACAACACCAACAACAACACCAACAACAACAACATTTGGGCAGGGGGACAGGGTGTTGGGAAAAAAGGAGGGGGGGGCCGGGTTGGGGGGGGCCAGGGACCGGGGGGGGTTTTGGGCCTTGACCCCCTTGACCCCCAACTGGGGGTACCCCCGCGGGGGGGGTATTGCTGTATTTTAGTGTATTAGCAGCAGCCCCTTGGGGGGTTGGAAATGGGGCCCCCCCCCCCCCCCGGTGCCGCCGTTATTAAGAAGGTTTCTTGGCCTTCGCACCTCGCCGATGGTCTCGAGCAACTTTGTGGCGTGTCGATCCCTACGGCCAGGTTGCACCGCGGTTACGTAGCCAAACCATTTCAATAGCACGCCCCATCGACTACAAGAGCTCGGAGGGTTCAATAGCACAGCCTGTCCTCAAGGCGTCAATTACAGTCCAAACGGCTACCAGATTACAGCGGAGAAGGACACGACAGATACCTTGGCAACCACTCCCCCGTCATTCCCCCACCCCCGTACCCCGGCGGTTACATTTGGTACCCTCGATCACGTCCGACCGTTTCGCAGCTCCCGACGCGAAGCGGCGCGGCAGACAAGCGGGAAGAAGCTGTTGACCGCCACCTCCGCCGACATGAGCGTCGCCAGCCTGCGGACGGCGAAGACCGCTTGCGCCACCGACATCGACATCGACAACGACGACTGCGGCACCACCGGCAGCAACGCCCCGTCATCCACCAAGGGCGGGGGAGGGGGGGAGGGCCACGAAGACGACCGCTACGAGGGAGGCGGTGGTGCGGAGCTCGGGGGATCGTCGGCGTCGATGGTGCCGCCGACGTCCGTGTCGGCGTGGCGCTCGTCGTCCCCCTCGTCCTCGTCTTCGCCCTCCCCGTCCCTGTCGTCCTCCGCCAACGGCATCGCTGCGAGCGGGCCCGTTGCCGTTGCCGTTGCCGTTGCCGGCGGCGGCGGCGGCGGCGCGGGCGATGCTACCGCTGATACCCCCGCTGCCGCTGACGGTGGTGGTGCACCCGATGGGGTTTCGGCTCTACCGCCGCCGCCGTCCACCACGACGCGGTGGCGGCAGTCGATGCCGCGCCCGCTGCTGGTAGGGTCCGGGAGGATTCGGGCGTCCTACATGCTGCACAAGGCACGGGGGGGCGGCAGCAATAGCAACGACAACAAGAAGTCGTCCGCGGCGGGCGGCGTAGGAGGGAGGCGCCAGGGTGGGGGCACGTGGAGGAAGAGGAAGGGTCCCGTCGTCCGCCTCGTCTCGCACAGGACGGCGGGCAACACCTCCTTCGACCGCCTAGCGGTCGAAGGCAGAAGTAGCGACAGAGACAAATCCAACAAGGCCGCCGCCGTTGCCCCCGTCGCCGTCGCCGAAGGCGGCGGCGGAGGACGGTTTAAGCCGCCCAGGTGTCCGCCGGCCAGCGGCGGCGGCAGCGGCAGCATCCACCGTGACCTAGAGGGGCAAGGAAACGACGAGGGTTGCTTTAAGCTGAAAGACATCTCGTTCTGGGTTGCTTGCGGTCCGTCGGGCAAGGTAAGGGGGCCGTAGGGCGGGTGATCGTCAATCAGTCAAACACGCCGTGCCACCCGAACACCGCTGGGAAGCCACCCTCTTGCTGCACGCGTTTGGAGAACAGCGCGAATACGTGTGGTAGCTCACAGAAAGAAGTCGTGTAGCCCAGCTCCGCAAGAGATACGTGCGTCTCAAGCACCCACGCTATTTTCGAGTCGTTTTCAAGAGAGCAGAAAAATACATCTCAGGACCACACAGCAGTGCTTTCGAGGTTGCTGAACTTCATCCAACCGGCGCACGAATCCAAGTGTACTGCCTGCGTCTACGGGCTGCCACTGCGAGGGCGCCCCAGCTCTTTCCAACAGTTGGCATATCTTGATTTACCACACACACACACACCACCGCTTTTTCTTGAATGACCACCCCGGAAACAACGGCCAAACAGTTACAGCTAGTCATGACAAACGAAGAGAACCTCAACATTCTTTTCTTGTGTTGGATCAATTTCCTTTGTTCTTTGTTGTGCATCATCAATGCGTGTGTATGCCTCTTTTTTCGTGGCCTGTGTTGTATGGCAGGCGGTGCGGTGGGAAACCCTCCGTCTTGACTCACCCTCGAGCGACGAGGCGTGGAACGGTGTGGTGGGCTTCAGGAGGGCGCTCGCTGACCCCGCTTGCTTTGCAGAGTTCCGGAAGTTGCTGCGGTGAGTGCAGTTCGGATGTCATGACAACTCGTCAGTCAGAAAAGGTTCGGGTTCAAGGCACTCATCATGGGGGCGGGGGCGGGTCGTGTGGTTGAGTGGTGGCCGAGTGGGTGTGGCGGGTGTTGACGCTTCTTGTAAGTACGAGAACAGGCAAGACGGTTGTTCTTTTGTTCTTTTGGTGGGGGCGTTGCTAGCGCTCATAACCCAAGGGTGCGTAGGGCACACCACAACACCTGGACCGATTCTAAAAGCCGGGATTACGACGAAGGGATGCCACAGCTGTACAATTTTTGCCTTTTCGGAGACCTCTCGACAAGACGCTTCCAACGCCGCCATTTTCGGTATCGTCACTGCTGTATTTACCATTCATACTCAAGCTTTGAAATTCGGTCCAGGGGGTGCGGTGTCTCACGCGACCGACCCACCGTACTATGGCCTTCTAGAGCGCCGATGGATAACGTCTACCTAGTCTGAAGGAGTTTCTGGTAGCGTTGCCGCAACAATGACGCCCTCCATCGTCATATTTCCCAAGCTGTCGTTGTTGGTGGTGTTGGTGGCGGTGGCGTTGTTGTTTCAACAATATTGTTGCTGTTCTTCTTCTTCTGAGTCGTCTTCTTTTCCTCCTTCTCTTCCTTACACACGCACGCACTCATGCACGCCATTCAAAGCAGCATCCGCCACGCCAGCGAGAACCTCAACTTCCGGGAGGCGGTGGTCCGCTACAGGGCCCTGTGCTACGACTGCAAGGCCAAGACCCCCGGCAGCAGCAGGAAGCACCTCAAGCCCAGGAGCAAGAGCGCGGACGCCGGGGGCGGGTCATACGCGCCGTCGCTTCTTGCGTCGCCGTGGTCGGCCGGGCGGTGGCGCGGCGGCGGCGGTGGCGGCGGCGGCAGCACGGACGGTACCGCAACCGCCACGGACTCGTCCTCCTCCCCGTCCTCCTCGTGGGCCCTGTCCAAGCCTCACATGGCCGCCGCCGCCGCCCGCGATGTGATTATCGACCGCTTCGTGAGGGAAGGCGCTCCCGAGCAGGTGTGTCGGTTGTTGGGCCGCGGCGCGCGTCCTGCTGTTCGTGCGTTGTTCCGGCCCGTTTGTTGGTTGTTGTTGACGTGGGTGGGTGTGGGCGGTGGTCGTAAGACTCGCATGCACCTCCACATCTATAAAAAAAAACCCATGAGTGTGGATGCTCCCAGGGAGACCCGCAAACGCCTGCATATCAATCAAAAACCCTTGGGGTGTGGTTCCTCGTCTTCGCCTAGCGCTACATACTCTCATATCCAGCAGCAGCAGCAGCAGCGGAGCTGTATTCCCTCGTCTACGGCTGGATGTTGATTCACGAGTCCGGGCCCTCCCCCCTCCCGCCTTACCCCGTGCTCTCGCCAAACATACCGAAAAAATCTAAGGTCAACCTCAGCGCGGTAACACGAGAGACGATCTTGTTGCTTCAGAAGGAGTCGGTGGAGGACGAGAGCCAGCTTTCTATGGTAAAGCCAGGGGCGCCGTTTTTCTCGCCACCCGAGCTGCCGCCCCCGCCGCCGCCGCCGTCCGCGGAGCTGTTCGAGGAGGCCTGGGACGAGGTCTCAAAGCTCCTCCAGAGAGACGCCTTCGCCCAGTTCCGCCACAGCGAGGTGTTTTTACGACTCAAGATGCAGTGGGGACGTCAGGTGCGTCGTGCTGTAGGCGTAAGTAGCCTGTCTCCCCCCCCAGACCTCCCACCGCACTCAAATACCTGGCGGATTAATAATAACCTTTGGGCAGATTTCAATACCCAACGAACGATTTGCACCACACCTGCCTTCTCTGCCGGCCCGACGTTCTGACTGTTACTATCTGTCTCTCTGACGTTCTGCCTGCCTCTCTCTCTCTCGCTCCCGCTCGCCACAGCCAAACGGAGTGCTCGACGCCAGCGAGTTCGTCCTCATGCCGTCGGACGGCACGGACCGCGCCGCCGGCACGTGCGGCACCCGCGCTTCGAGCGGGCTGGCGACGGCGGCCATGCGCCCCCCGCCGAGGACCTTCCTCGGGTGTGCCTCCGCCGTCGCCGCCGCTGCTGCGACGGGCGAACAAAAAGAACAGCCGGCGGTCCAACAAGAGAAGAAGACCGGGATGATCGATGTCGACGGCGGGAAGGCATCTCCCTGCTGCTCGAGCGCGCGGGGGCACTCGGCGCCGACGTCGTCGCCGGTGCGCCCACCCCCGTTCCCGCCCATGGCGAGGACTCTCACTGCCGCCACTTCGGAGGCTACGACCGAGATGACGCCCACGAAGCAGCCGGAGGAGGAAGAGGAAGAGGGAGAGGGAGAAGAGTTGAGGCCGATGACGGCGCCTCTGCTGTGCCCCTCCTTCTCTTCCCCGTCCGTCTCTTGCTCTTCTTCTTCCGTTGCCTCTACCCACCGCCGCCGCCGTGGCGGCGGCGGCGGCGGCCCTCCCCCGCTCTCGACCCGCTCTTCTAGCTCCTCTTCCTCGTCGTCCAGGGCGAGCATCCGGAGCCAACTCCTGTCAGGGTTGGCCGACCACGAGCTCCAGCAGTACCACCAGGAGGAGGAGGAGGAGGAGGAGGAGGAGAAGCACCAGCAGCAGGAGCAAGCCCGCCCTCCCGCCGCGACCGCCAGCACCACGCCTAGGGAAAGGATGTTCGGGACTACTGCCGCCGCCGCTGAGGGAGGCGTCGTCCATGCCGCTGCTGCTGCTGCTGCTGCTGCTGCTGCTGCTGCTGCCGACGGGGACACGGACGCCGGCTCTGGTGTTGGTGGTGATTCTCCGTTGTCCTTCCAGCGGCCGCCGCCACCGCACGTGGCAAAACGAGAGACTACCGCCATCGTCGCCAGGCTACCCTCTCGCGGTGAGGCGCTGGTGCCGGGCACCAAGGACTGTGACCACCAGACCGATGAGTCCGCCTCCGATCCCGCCGAGCGCTTGAGCGGCGGCCGCGGTAGCGGCGTCGACGATGACGACGAGGTCCGTGACGCCTGGCCCTGGCCTGCAAACCCCCCGCGGGCGTCCCCGTCTTTCCGCGGAAAGCCTCACCGTTTCTACTACTTTCACCACCAGCAACAGCAACGGCAGGAATGGCAGCAGCAGCAGCAGCAGCACCGCGTTATGCCGCCGCTGCCGCTGGCTTCCTCCCTACGGGACCTTGCCGATCCGGTGCGTTCCCTTCCGGGATCTGCCAAGGCGGCAACACCCGTGGTGGCAACAACCGTGGAGGCGGGGGAGACCTCCGCCGCCTTTGTCGCCGCCGCCGCCGCCGCCGCGACCCTGGGGGGGGCTCAAGGCGTGGCGAAGAGCGCTAGGCACTTCGTGAGGAACATGGGCGCAGCCGAAGACCCGTCGGTCGCGATTCCCGCCCCCACCGTCGCCTTCAGCGGGAGCTTGTTGCCCCCGCGACACGCGTTCAGCCCCGCCGCCGCCGCCGGTTCGAGCGAGGAACAGCTTTCCGTCGAGGCGATAGCGTGGGCGTCGGCAGCCGCGGCGGCTGCAGCGGCCGCAGAGCAGGAGGAGGAGGAGGAAGAGGAAGAGGAGGAAGAGAAGGAGGAGGAGGAGGAGGAAGTGAAGGAGGAGGAGGAGGAGGAGGAGGGCGTGGACAACGACCAAGGGGAAGATGGAGAAGAGAAGCAACAAGATGAAGAGGAGAAGAGGGAAGAACAAGAAGAGTCGTCACCGGTCACGTCTCCGCCCCTAGCCCCGCCGAGGCTGGACGCCAACCGCCGCTACCGCTCCGCCGGCGCCGCCGGTTCCCCTACCCCTACCGCGATCTGGCGGGACGCGTCCCCCCTCGGCTTCCGGTCGCACGGAGGGCCGAGGCCGATGGCCCGCACCATTACCGACCGGGCGGCGAGAGCGGCGAGAGCGTACGCCGCCGCCGCCGCCTCCAGGCAGGCGAGGCAGGAGCTCGCGAAGCAGGCGGTGACGCCGACGGCTGCTGCTGCGGCGGCGGTGGCGGCAACAGCGACGCGGACGGCGCCGGCTACGCCCGCGACTCCGGCGGCGGTTGCGGCGAAGGCGACGCTGTCGAGGATCCGCGAGGAGGCCAGGCGTGAGAGGATCAACTCGACACCCGGCGGGCGGCACCGGCTGCGGCTCGAGGAGGGAGGGCTTCGCAGGTCCCCCCGTGAGTACGGCGGCGGGGTGCAGGCTCGGCGTTGCCCCGTGTGCGGTGGTGAGCGTCGGAGCGAGCCAACAAACACACGCCCTCGTGTTTGTTGCGAGCTTGTTAAGAGTCGTCGAGCTTTTCGTTTTTTGCCGTGGTATTTTTTAGCTGTACTCAGCCGGGCGGGCGTTTCTGGCTGACCTCTCTCTCTGTTTCTGTCTCTCTCTCCTTCGCGCTCTGCATCTTTCTCTCGCCCTTCTTTTTTTTTTTTTGTAGGCCACAACAAGGTCCAGTTGCTTCTTCAGGCCCCACCGGGGACGGGCCTGGGCGTGCTGCTCGCCGACCGGAACGGGGCGGTAAGAATCTGTCCAACTCTCGCGAGTTGTTATTTATTATTTTTTTATATCTGTTGGCACGGTATGCGTTGAACGAGCGCGAAAAGCCTAACGAACACGTCGCGATGCAGGATCCAAAAGCAACCGGGGCGGCACGGTATCCGAAGCATCCGTCCCTCACCGTGGCTGGTGCTGTCGCCACCACACCAAAACAGACATTACTACGGGATTCATCATGCAGGTGCTCTTGCACCGAATCTCATCCGCTCAGCTTTAGCACGAAAACATGGTAGTAGAGTTTCGTGGTTCTTTGGACAGGGCCCGCCATCCAGGAGTCTTATTTTTTTGACAACGAAGACAACCGAGCAATAGCAACAACAATTGAGGAACAGCAGCAAGAACGACGACAACAACAACAATAGCTGAGCAAAAAAACGAAAACGACACTGAACGACACGCGACCGGCTGTCTGTCCGTTTTTCGCAGGCGACCATCGCCGGCTTTCGATCTTCCCTGGATGACAACTTCGACTCCGTGTTGGGTGCCGGTCTTCGAGTCGGAGACGTGATCGTGTCCGTCAACGACACCGCCGTTCGGGGAGACTTTAACCTGGGGAGTTCGCCACGCGATTGGGACAGCCCTTGGGGGGGGGGGGGGGGGGGTATGCCGAGCGCTCCGTTGCCTGCACGATAAAGGAGAAAAACAATGGAAACTATGTTTTTATCTGTAGGAAGGTTCATTTTCCGCTCTGTATATATATGTGGCGGATAGGAGCATGCGTGTGATATGATACGGGTAGCACCGGCTTGACAGAAGGGTGGTGGTGAGAGGACGGGGTCACAAACCGGAGGCAACCGATTAGCTAGATGCAGAGGTTAGCTCGGACTCCCTCTAGGGGGCACACGGTTTGCAGTCGAAGCGTGTCCCGTCCGCGGCAATCTCAAGAACAATATTTTTCACCGCCCACGGCAGCAGCAGCAGCAGCAGCAGCAGCAGCAGCAGCAGCATTTTCCCAACGTGTCACATAATAATCCACCGTTCTTTCTGGGTGTCAATATTTTTGTGTTCGATGCCTTCGATGCACTGGCTGTTTCGTTCCTTTTGATGTGAACGGACACCCCGGGCCGTGGGTCTGAAACGGTGAGAGGTGTTGAGCAGGTGGTGACAAGAGACCAGCTACACCCCGCCCCTGTAGACGTTCCGTTTGCCTGAAAGGCCTTGAGAACAAGCGAACAAAAACAAACACATCCAACCGTTCTTGGCGTACGCACACAGATGGAAAGTTCGATGCCAACAGAGTCTGTCGGCGTGTAGCTCCCGTGGCGTTGCTGAAGGTGTACCCGGCACGCTTCGCGTTCTTTTGCTTCTTCGTTCTCGTGGAGCGACGAATACGCGGGAAGAACACAAGGTCCTCCATCATCTGCGTGTCTTGATTGGATCGAATCCCCCCACGCTGCTGTTGGTTTTCCAACGGTCATCTCATACGCTTCCCCCCCGTCATCCGATTTCCTCCCTCGTTCGTGCCCGGTCTCTCAATATCAACGCCAACAACCAACCCCGCAACAAACACGACAACGACAACAACGGCAACGCAATTTAGGCGGTAGACCTGATGACCCAGGGCCAGGAAAACGGCGAGCTGAAGCTGGTGGTAAAGCGGAGTCATGGGGACAACCACCATCACCATCACCGTCTCGTTCCGACGCCGGCAGCGGCGGCGGCGGGTTTTGGTACTGCTGCCGGCCCCCTCTCCAACAGGGAGCGTCGTCCCCCCTCCCCTTCCTCCTCCTCTTGTGCGGGGTACAACCCCCAACAGTATTTTTATTTTGTTTACCGGGTTATTGGGGGGGGGGGGGGGCGGAGGACAAAGAGCTAGGTGCTAGGTGATGAAAACGACAAATTTAAAACCCGTTGGATCGTTTTACATACATACGTACGTGCATGATACATTTAATAGTTTTTTCCTTCTTTTCTTATATTTTTTGTTTCCGCTCTCGAGAGTATCAGTTGTGTGTACAGTGACGCTGTGGTGGTTTGTTCTGTGACCGTGTGGCCAAACAAATGGCTCTGGGCGTGGTTAAGTTGTTATTTTCGTTTGTATTGAGGTCCTACGCACAAGGTCTTCGTCGGTTGTAGGCCGTTGTAAGGGCGGTGTGTTCATCGGGGGTCTGATTGTCATTCGCGCATCAATAGACTTCCCCCCGGGGGCAAGCACGATGGGCACATGCGCGCAAGGGATGGGAAAAATTACGACGGTCAACGTCAAACTTCACAGAAAAAACATCCACTAAGGAGTACCAGATAGGAAGAAGATTTTTTTTTTTCTTAAACTAGAGACACACACACACTAGGAGAATTATTCATGTAAGGGGGGCAGGCGCAAACGGTGTAACGTAGTAGTATGCGCTTTCCGTTTCAACTAGGAAGTAGTTCTAGGCTGGGGTGGGGTGTGACAGGGATAACTGCGTGTGTTTTTTCGCAGCGAGCGGGGGTAAAGACGTGCTTTCCAGAAGCAAGCGAGTGAGGGATGGCGCCGATCGACTTGGAAGGGTCGACGTGTTTTTCCGAAAAGATGGACACCTCCCTCCCGTGGTCTTGGCACCCCCTCTACTACTGCCTACCCCATCGGGGCTGCTGTTGCGTGCTTCGTTTTGTTGTGGCAAGGCCTAGCTTTCTTAGCTTGCGTTGGGGGATCATCCCGCGTGCCTGTTGTACACAGCAGTAAATTGTTGTTTTGGTTGTTGTTTTGTTGCTGTGTTTGATGACTCTTAATTTTGGTCACCGGTAGTCAGTGATATTTTTCGCTGTTAGTTGCTCCTTCGGGGGGGGGGGGGGGGGGGGGGGTTTTTGAGAAGTAAGGGGTCATTTT